ATTTTATACTACATCATTGGGAATTTTCCAATAAAATATTATATAAATAAAAGTTTTCCGGTCCAAAGGCGAAATTGTTTTCAATAGATTCAATAGGAAAGACTTCTGCATTAAAATCTTGTGACATAGTTGTGTCAACAAAAGGCAAAACCAATGCTGTATCGATACTAACATTTTCACTGGAATGGAAAGGAAAAGTTTCCGTTGATTGCATTTCATAGTTTTGACAGGTGAAATTATCTTCTGTAAATTGCTCGTTCTGCTGGAATAAGTCAATAAATTCTAGAATGTGATCCAAAGATGGTGATTCAATCATGAACTGTGTTTCTTGTGGCATGTTTGTTACTTCATTACTTTCCTGAGGTGTATCAATGCTAAGTGCAAGTATTTGCTCTTCTAAAGAGGGTTGCATTTGGGGAGCTATAATGGATGAGAATGGTGACCATGGTGATTCTCTTCCTCTCCCTTCTTTAGATTCTTGAAGCATAATGCTAGTTTCTTCTTCTTTTGACCTCGGTTTAAATTTATAATTGGGGAAAAGTTCGTTATGAACACGACCGCAAAGCTCCGCTAATAAGGTATATTGATTTTTTATTTTATCTGTTTCTTTTGCCCATCTTTCTCCAACAATTTGAGATATTTTTTCAAAATTTGCATCTGGATATTCTTCCTTTATTTCATCTTGAAAGTCCTTTCGGTACAAGATAAAGGCATTTTGTGGTCGAGTTATTCTGCCTCGTTTTCCTCTGGTTTTCTTACAAGGTGCCAAAAGTTGTAAAATCGTGTGTCTAAATTTGAATTCGTCTTTTTCAGAAATGAATTCTTTATAATTTTTTTCTATCGAATGTTTAAGGCGCTCTTTGAATTCATGAGTTTCAAATAAATGAGGTTGCCTTTTCTTTCGTGATTTTGTTGGTTTTCTCAAGGTGGTTTTAGTTTTCGGCATATTGGATTTCATATGGTTGATGTTGCTTGACTTTCGCCCTATTTATAAGTTGACCCTTGATATTCTTTTATTTAGGTATTTATTTATTTAGTTTTTATTGTCTTTGTTTCTGAATATATATATATTTTTTTGTTTTTTTGTTTTTTTATCATTTATCTTTCACCCGATTGCCATGCTGTCGATAAAGACAAATATACAAAGTTTGTCATCCGATAATCGTCGTGAAAGGACCAATACCAACGTGATGTTTCATATCCTGACCCAAAAGTTCAATATTCAGGTCCATGTGCAACTTAGACTTTATGTTACACTACTCTTTGTGTGCATATAATTTATCATCATAAAGTCTATAACTTCTTCAAATTCACGTTTCAAGAGTAATGTCATAGAAAATAATGAAACATGTTTAGTAATTTTTATATCAATTTAAGTGTGTTACCAAAAGTAAGAATTAAAATTTAGTAAGTCTGCTACGAATTACTTTAAAATAACTGTCCAATAGAA